TATATATATATATATATATATATATATATATATATATATATATATATATATATATATATATATATATATATATATATATATATATATATATATATGTATATATATATATATATTCAATTCAATTCAATTCAGCTTTATTTGTATAGCGCTTTTACAATGTAGATTGTGTCAAAGCAGCTTCACATAAATGGTCATAGTAACTGGAACAGTGTGGTTCAGTAACTGGAACAGTGTGGTTCAGGTTTTAGTGTTTAAGTTCAGTTCAGTTCAGTTTAGCTCAGTTCAGTGTGATTTAATCATTACTGAGAGTTTAAACACTGAAGAGCCAATTCATCGATGCGTAGCTCTACCAATCCTGAACCATGCGAGGCAGTGGCGACAGCTATATATAGCCATATATATATATATATATATATATTTGAGTCCTAATAAGGGGGTAGTGTAATGGTTAACGTAAATGTAACCCAATCTTTGTGTTCAATTCATATACCAGCATGTTTTTGTTTTATAGCACAGCCACAAATGCGTGCAGAATAGTTGAATCTAGTCTTTTAGGCATTCATCATTATCAGATACAGCCTAACAGTATTAGCCACGAGTATTGCAGTCTAATGTTCTTTTTTTTTTGTTTCTCTGTCCAGCTCTTTTGGACTCCAGACCTTCCGGACTTGTCAGGCCAGGCGTCAGGCACAGACGCTCCGCAGATGAACAGCCGAGAGAAGTGTGCTTTTTGCGAAGACGACGTCCCCCCAAATCACATGTATAGCCACCTCAATTCACACTTCAAGAACAAAGCTGGCGATTGACACCCAGCCGGACTCAAAAACGCCCTTTTATTCGTGCCTTTGTTGAGTAGCACAACCCATTAGCCTGAACACATTTGCTCACGTCCGCCAGTGACACCATTGAAGAGAGCGAAACCTCGTTTATTTAATTAGGAGAACATTAAACGCTTCATTTTAGAGTGGTTATGTCTTAATTAAGGCTTTTTTTAGCTGCATTTATTTAGTCTTGATGACTGGCGGGTTCGCTGTAG